CTTGACCAATCACATGCATGGTTCCTCTCTTCTCTCTCTCCTTCCAATCGCTCGTGCATGGTCCCCCTCTCCTCTCTCTTTCTCTCCTTTCAACTGGACACTAAACCATAAATATTTCATCACATGCATGGTCCCCACCTACTTTTTCTCCTCCCAACCGGATAGTTTGTGATTAGCATTCGATGGCTCCCTCCTACATCATGTCCGTGGACCACATCCGGACATAAAAACAGACATATACCAGGGACATTTGCGGGTCGGCGTTGGAGATGCATAACCGAGCTTTCTCCGAAACTCGTGTCAAAACCATATGATCAGAAGAGGTACAAAACGTGCCTAAATCTCATATTCACTTTTGATTAAATATCCATTTTTTTCGTTTCAGTGACATCATTTTCTAAAAACAATTCATTGTCTGGACTATTTGGAACGAAAGAATTGCCCACATCTTGCACAAGAGCGCTTCTCCAGGTGGTTCTTCTTGCAAATATGAAAAAAGGAGGCTATGATTTGGGACTTTGGGTAACCGTGGGGGCTTAGAAATTGAGTCAAATTATGCTGGGAGAGTAATGACCTTCTATTTTGTGAGGTGTTGTAACATTGCTCGAACTCTATTCTCCCTTAATTAATATAGACGAGACAATTTTTTTGCCTCCATTTCAATTTTTTTTTGCAATCAGCTTAAATTTCCACTCTCGTTCTAAGCTCCTAGGTCCCTAAAAGACCATTTTGCCCCTGACTGCCTTCTATCCAAAGGCATGGACCAGAGGTTATTGTACCATAAACATGGAACATACATATGATTTTTTTTGAAACTATGATGATTTTTATAGCAAATTCGGAAACTATACACCCTAATGCAGAAAAATCAAAAGTATCACCCCGTCGGCCGCCTGTTGGCCGAAGAGGGACTTTTCGGCCAATCGCTAGCCAAAAAAGACTTTTCAGCCAACAGTTGGCCAAAGAGTCCCTCTTCGGCCAACAGGAGGCCGAAAAGTGGTCTTCGGCCAACACCTGCTTTACTGTTTTAGAAAATTCATATCAATTAGGATTTTTAGTATTTTAATTTGATTCTTTTTGCATTAGATTAGAAATTTTATGAAGTTTCTGTAGATATCAAGTTTCACTAGATTTGAAAGTTTGAATTTGAATTTTCATGAATTTGCTCAAATCACTAGATTGCCTACAATTTGAGCTAGGAGTATTTTTTCGGATGATTCTTTTTGCTATTGGTTCTTTGTGACATTGTTTATCAGTAGTAATTAATTGGCGAATTTCATAATTATTTAGAATTAGGTTTTTATGAAAAGAGTTCTGTTTTAGTGTTTTATAGGTTTTGTGCTATTTCTTTTAATTTTAATTGCTTTAAATTGTTTTCTTTAGTTTTTTTAACATATTTTTGTTGTTTCTGTTTAGTTATCAGTAGCTATTTTATTTGTAGTATTTTTTTGTATTTTATTTCTTTTATCCTACTAGAAAACTTGTTTTGAGCTTCATAGGAGTTTATATTTAAAAGTGCCTTATAAATCATGTACAACCATTGCCATTTTATACATGAAAAAACAAGTATTTTCCCGCAATCTTTTTCCCTCCATTTTATACACTTATGACTTCTCTCAGACATTGTTTCACACTCCACCAGCAGCACCGACGCAGGAGACACAGACCGTGTCAGACGATGTTATCTACGGTCGTGGACACCATGAGGCTCATTTTATAAGTTGAGAAGTGAAGATGGCGAGAAAGAAGATGACGGGAAAGAAGATGGCGGGAAAGAAAATGGCGGGAGAGAACGGCGGGAGAAAATGGAGGGAGAGAATGGCGGCAAATAAAATGACGGAAAGAAAATGGTTAGAAAAAATGGCGGATGGCGGGAGAAATTGACGGCAAAGAAAATAGCGGGATAAAATGGAGGGAAAGAACGGTGGAAAAGAAAATGAAGGATAAAATAAATAAAATACAAAAATATATATACTAATAACTTAACAGAAACTAAAAGAATATGTCAAAAAATAAAGAAAACAATTTAAAGCAATTAAAATTAAAAGAAATAGCATAAAACCTATAAAACACTAAAACAGAACAGTTTTCGTAAAAAACTAATTTTAAATAATCCTAAAATGCACCATTTAATTATTACTGATAAACAAAGTCACAGAGAACCAGTAGCAAAAAGAATCATCTAAAAAAATACTCCTATCTCAAATTATAGGCAATCTAGTGATTTGAGCAAATTCATGAAAATTCAAACTCAAACTTTCAAATATAGTCAAACTTGATATCTACAGAAACTTCATAAAATTTCTAATCTAATGCAAAAAAGAATCAAATTAAAATACTAAAAATCCTAATTGATATGAATTTTCTAAAACAGGAGAGCAGGTGCAGGCCGAAGACCACTTTAGAGTTGGACGAAGAGGGACTCTTTGGCCAACAGTTGGCCGAAAAGTCCTCTTTGGCCGAAAAGTCCTCTTTGGCCAACGGTTGGCCAAAAGTCTCTCTTTGGCCTGAAAAGTGCCTCTTCGGCCAACAGGAGGCCGACGGGGTGATACTTTTGATTTTTATGCATTAGGATATATAGTTTCCGAATTTGCTAAAAAATCATCATAGTTTCAAAAAAAAATCCATACATATCCTCATGTTTTACATCCCACATTCATCAAACACATAGATAGATCAATGCGCACTGCACACCAAAATCATGTAACAGATGTGCCAAAACTCGCTTCTGAGAACAATCCCATCCATGTCTTTTTTTTCCC